AAGTTGGTTTCGAAATTTCGTAAACGGACGTTCACGAAGAAAGGCAAATTTTGAAAAAAAAAAAAAAAAAAAAAAAAAAAAAAAAAAAAAAAAAATAAAGAATATTAATTTTGCGAACATTTTTGTTTTTTTTTTTTTTCAACTGATATCCTGCGAAATCTATCTGGTTACATTCGAGTAACGCGATTAATGCAGAATTTTTTGTACTGTGAATAATTTTGATGAAGTTGTACGAAACGTCAGAAAAATTAGACCGAACGAAAGAAAAAAAAAAATGTTTAAAACGACACAAAGATTGTATTTATTAATAATAGGGGGGAAAAAATGTAGAAGAAGAAGAAAAACAACGTTAAAAGGATAGGTGTCCTATTTTTACGTTGTCGTTACTTTCCCATTCTTTGGATGGACCATTCCTGTTGGCATAATGGACAACGATTGTTTTGTTTCACCCATAAGGACATGCAGCAATAATGAAACGAATGGTTACACTCGCCCCATACAACAACGCAATCCTGTCGTCCATAAAAGTCCTTTTTACTTTCTGCTTGACAACGTAGGCACGCATCTGTAAAATATTAAATAAATGTGTCTTAGGAAATAATTCTTTTTTTTTTTTTATTTATTCTATCAATTTATGTTTTTTTTTGTTTATCATAAAAATTCCCATTTCAGGGCCACAGTGTTTTTATCGAGATTTTAATGCAAAAAATAATTAATTTTTATTATTCTTTTTTTTTTTTAATTCAGAAGGTTTCACTGTTTTAATTCGTATTTTTCAAAACGATGTTGTATTTTATCGTTCGTTAATTATTTTCTTGCGCAGAAATAAACAGGTCAGTATCTTCTTCTACTGTAATTGAGAAATTTTCTACGTCTTTCAAAATATATATTTAAAATCGTTAAATTTATTTTATATATACACACACACATACATTGGAATCAAATGAATATCAAGAGACCAAAATTTGCATTAGCTCGCTTATGTCAATAGGAAGAGTAAAACCTCGATATATCAATCTCATAATCAAAAAAAACATGCTAATACGTAGAGTTTTAAAATTGTTAACCAATACAACATTTGTTAATCTACATATTATATACATATATACCTAAACATAAAAATAAAAATAATATAAATGAGAGAATAAATAATTTATCTTGATCATTATATTTAAATAAATGATCACGCTAATTTGCGTTTGTTTTTTTTCTATTCCATCGTGTTGAAAGTGATGAATAGAAACTTCAAAAAAATAAAGAAAAATAATCAAAGAAATAGTAGAAGGAAGGAAATAGTTAATGACGATTTCAATTTTTGTGTTTTCGTGCACGCGAATAAAATTAATCATCTGTTGATTTCTTGCGACTTTTCTTCGTCGACTTTACGTTTACGTAATATTTTCAATTAGTGTCACGTTCAATCATTTTAAAAAAAGAAATTACAAAATAGGAAAATAGAAAAAGGAAAGTAATATAAATACTGATCATTTATTTTTTTAACATATTAATCAATTATTATTTATATTTAATATACAAAATATTTCTATATATTACTCATTGAACAAAATTTATTGATCAAAAATTTCAAATAAATAAATATGTTTGATTTAAAAAACTGATGGAACTATCGCGAAGAATTAATGGCGTATTATGATTCAACAATGAAATATCGATTATCGCGATACAATTCATAATAGACAAAGAACAGAACAGTGTAATATAATTAATGAAAGATATAAAAAGAAAAGAATGAATATAATAAAAATAGAAAGTAACAAAATTAATCATTTTTTATTTGCGAATTAATTAAATTATATTCCTTTATATAGCACGCATAATTATTTCAATATATATTTTTGAATACATTTCTTCGTACACACATTTGCAAGATTAAATAATTGAAATTAAAGAAATATCTTTTACCTGCGTCTTTTAAAATGCACTCATCGTACATTTCTCTAAACTGATACCGATAATTTATAACGTCATTGTATATGCATATTTTTAATTAATCTCTCTTCCTTATTTTTAATTCCTTTTCTTTTTTTTTTTTAAATACGTATATACAATAAATTTTAAATTTTACATGTAACACAGTGACAGAAAGGGGGGGGAGTCTTTTTTTTCTTTTTTTTTTTTTAATTTCACGAAGAACGTGAGAATGTATTATTTTATATCAAAAGTAAAAAAAAAGAAGGAATAAAAATCTTAAAAAGAATTCGAAGGTTTATCGAAAGACTATAATTAAAATACGTGACAGATAAGACATACACACAAAGGAATAACGTTTTCACACGTAATGAGAAACGCTTTTAGAAAGTTTATTATTGCGGTGTAAAAAGAGGTATATGATAGTTGGGAGGGAACGGGTGGAACGGGTGGAGAGGGGAGGGGGAAGTTGGTTATTCGATGGTAACTATGATATATAAGCATCTTCGTGATCATCGATCCTCTCAAGTCGCTGTTGCTCGCGTTGAATGAGACATATCATTTTACGTTGTCTCGTTACCGATTTACGTACACATATGTTATAAATATATATATATTGTATATATATATATGTACACACACACGCGTGTATATATATGCAACGGTCAGTAAAATTCCACTCTCTTATCTAACACGAGTCTAAGAGTAACATTATTGCATACGATTACCAGTAAACATCGTTCTGATACATCTTTACTTTTGTGTGTGTATGTATATATATTATATGTATATGAGAAAAGAAAATCGTTTATGTTCAACCAAAAATTACTAACTATTTACGTTTATTTACCATGAGTTATTGTTAATATATATATATAAATCTTATATACTCTATATATTTACAAATATAAATATAAAAATATATAAATTACACATATTTAATTAATCTTTTGAATGTGTTAAAAACACCGGGTGAAAGTAATCCGCATAGATGGTATGTGTTTAATAGTTGCAACTATTGGGAAAGTAATACTTTTCTTGCTAATATATAACTATGTTAATTAAATAAACAAAACAATTAAAGAATTTCAAACGTGAGAGAGGGAGGTTGACAAAATTGAAAAAAAAAAAAAAAAAAAAAAAAAAAAAAAAAAAAAAAAAA